GGGGGGGGGGGAGGGGGGGGCCGTTTGGGGCCTGCCTCTCCCACAGGGCTTCGTCAAAAGTGGTCGGGCGGTTTCGTTTTGTTTTGTTGTTGGTTTGTTCCCCCCACCCCCCGACAAAAATGGAAAACGCCTGGAAAGTTTTAGGGAGCGAATTTCTCTTTCCTCATTTCCCCCGGGACTAAAAGCTCAGGATAAGCGAGTTGCAGAGCGAGCAACCAGGACTCCCAACTTAAAAGCGGATGTCTCGCAGCTATTTCCTAAGGAAAACTGGAGTTCCCTCCTTTTCCCCCTCCTCCTGCGTCTCTCCCTCCTCCTCGTTGCCCCCCTGCCCGGTCACCTCTCGGGCTCCCGGGGCGCGGTGCCTCTGGCGCCTCCCGGGGGGCAGGGGCTGGGGCCGGGCAGGGAACCGGCACCGCTCGCTCCCGAAGGGCGAGTTTTTTTATGGCCGCCCCCTTCCCCTGGCCCGGCGGGCAGCGCGGAACCCGCCTCGGCCGGGGCTGCCCGGGTTAATCGCGGCGCTCAGGGAATTACCGCGCACTCGCACCGGCTATTCAGTGCCATTCAATTGGCTTAATTGAGGGGAAAAACCCTTGGCTGCTGGCTCCGCCCGCTCGGCCCAGACCCTTTGTTCTCCCGCCCGCTGCAGCCCCGTCCCGGGCCGCTCTCTCCCCCCGGAGGCTCCGCGGCCGCGGGGGGGGCGGCCGGTCCCTCGGGCAGCCCCGGGAGGCAGCGGGACACGCAGCCCATTTGTCCCAGGCGTCTGAGCAAGGCCGAAGGAAAGAGCATTTCTGGTCCCAGCTCTCCTCACTCGTGGCCTTGTGATGCTCAGCCTGGAAGACAGTGGCTCCTGAAGACAGGCTTTATTTTCCTCTTCCTAGAAACACCTCTTGAAATTTCAAGGTTGAGGCAGCGCATTCCGTATCTGTTGCTATGCAGGCTTTTTGGGGGTGCCCCCCTTTCAATGCTGCCAGGCCCCTCGGAAGCAGCGAGGGGAACCTTGCCTGCTCCGGGTGCCACAGCTTCACCCCTTTTAATCCTAGTTGCGGTAAGGACTTCAGGTGTCTTTACCTTCCACCAGGGAGAAAGCCTATCTCTGTTCCTGTCCCAAGTGCCATTCAGAGGGCTCCTTCTCACTTTTGTCCCCTTCAATAATGCCGGTATCACAAAATACTGCACACACTCCTGCCAAACAACGAATAAGGCTGCACCCCTGCCTAGTCTAGTTAATCGCAAGTTCCCTCTCCAGGCAGCAGAAGGTTAAAACACCCCCTTGACTCTTATTACAGAAGGAAAGGGGTGTATGTTCCTGAGCCACTGAATATAGAGAGCTGATGCACGCACCAAGTGTGTCTCTTGTCTCATTCTTTGAAAATGAGGAGTAGTTTGCTTTCTTTTTGGGTAACTTAACATGCCAAACACAAGCTCCTAAGAACAAAAGTTCCCCCAAAGGAAATTCTTCCTTCCCATCTTCTTCACGTGCCACTTACTTAGCGACCTACTAACTGCTTAGCACATGCTTTGCCCTGAATCCCAGCACGTGGGGAGATCTGAGAGTGAAACAGTGTTTCCAAGTTTTCTTCAAATAGTGTTTGTTACAGAGGTAACAGCACATCCTGCTTCACACTCACGCTGCTGCTTTTAGAGATGGTAGTATGCATTATTCTGCAGAGGGTATTTTGGTCACCATTATCAAAAAACAGTGTTTTAATCTTAGTTTCTAGTGATGCTTTCTGTGGACATCACCATCTTGTGGCCAAATGGACATTTGTACCATGGTGTTAATGGAGGAGGCCCAGAGCTGGCTGCTGGTGAGACCAGCTGAAGGACAGGAGGGCAATGGCCTGGATGTGGGGACTGGGAGAAAGGCACGAGGGCCTTAGAAATGTTCTAGGGTCAAATAAGAGACTTGGCAGCACTTCAGAATTTGTTTTATCACAAAATAGGAATGAAACATCAGTTAATTTGAGACTCCTGTATTTGACTGGAATTTTACCAATTGTATTTCTGAACTCCCAGCAGCAGCCCTAGATGCTGCAATTGAATGGAAATCTTACGTACAGGTAGTTGTACGATTCCTTTGGGAGATACACAGGGACACCACAAAGTAGCAGGGAAGAAGTGCTTGAAAACCAGAGGGCTGCATGGGGAGCGTGTACAGTGCTGGTCTGACACCATGATGCCTTTTGCAGAAACTACTCAGCTCTTAAAATCTCCCAAAGTTTTTACACCCTTGGCCTGTTCTGCATCTCTGTGCCTGCAATCCCCATAGTTGTTTCAGATTCTGTGAGAGATGCATATAACATTAAACCTGATACAACAGACTTTTGAAGGTGGTGCCAGGCACCACCACCAAATATGAGAGGGGAATTGGCACTAACAAGGAATATTTGTGTCATAATGGGTGATGCCTGGGGGCAGCCAGACTCTTGAGCAAGACAATGAACAGCAGGCACTTTCAACATGTGTTCTGTAACTTTCTTTATAGAAAAGGACAAGATTTTGCCAGTCTCAAATTGTACATATCTACTGTTATTGTAATATTATTTTTATTTAGTAGGTGAAGAGGTAAAATTATGAGAAATTCAACAAGTTAATTGTTCGTTGTCCCTAATGAAAAGTTGACACCTTCATTCCATTCTGGGAATGTTGAGAGTAATTTTTCTTTCCTTGGATCCTATGTATATCTCATTCTCTATGGAACAGGTTGAAATCCAAGCCTGAGGGTTTGTTTTGTTGCATATTAACATGAACCCCCTCAGTCCTTTAGAAAGATGTGTTGACGCATTTCCTCCTAAGTTTCTGCCTGGTTAGTTCTGGGAGGGTTGGAAAGCATTTAAGATAACACACAGAGGTCTTTTCCATTACTAATATGTAAAATTCTGCAAGTACATTTTAAAACCAAGCACTACTTGGTTTTTACCTTTCCATAACAGAATCTGCTATGAGCAGTACAGTTGCAGTTATTCATCCCAGTATTTTTTACATCAGAAATGGTAGCTGTGAAGGAGGCTGGAGCACACAGGATGATCCCAGTTTGGCACCTAAATCTCAGTTCTTAAACAAGAAAAGATCTTGCCACATTCCATCCAGCTCCATTAACAGTTTTTCTTTTACTATCTCCTTTTAAAAGTCTTGTACTTCTAAATTCAGGTGCTTCCAGTCTTTCCATGCCCCAGGAAAACAAGCAGAAATGCTTCTTGTGGGGAGAACTTGGCACAAGATACTTAGGTCTGGAAAGGATTTGTGCAACTGCACGCACACATACACACATGTTTACATATACAGGGCAATTTTTTAAAGCTGTTTTTTAAATTATAGAATGCAGAAACACACAGAAAACGTTGAGGCTTCAAACACATTCTATGTATCTATTAAGCAAAGATGCTTTTGGTCTTCAAGCTGAATTTTTGCGGGTCTTGCTCTGTGTCGTGCCGTATCTTTTTGGAAGGTTTTGAAGAGCTGAAGTTTGTAAAGCAGCTACTGTACACCCTGCCAAGCTGCTGTTCATAGAACCTCTATGCATTTTTACTTATACACACGTGGCTTTTATGTATATTTTTAAAAACTGGTTTTAATGCAGGTCTTTCAGAATTGGTATGTTTTCAATAGGGCTGAAAACCTCTGCAAGAGCACGAATTTAAAGTAAGACCATAAAGACATGTCTGTGAGGTGTACTCAACTGTAATGAACCAGCAATAACAGACAATTGAAAACAAGTCTGTTTATGTGTTTAAGAAATTTGCCAATAAGTCACACTTTATTGTTTTTTTTTTCCTCGTTTTCTGCATGCAACATAGAACAGAAATATTAGTGAGTTTTCAATACTTTTAACATAAAGCTTATAGGAATTTAAAAGGGACTTGTAGATATTGGAACAGAAAAAGTAAATTAATGACAGTTTGTCAGAGCTAATTTTTTGTTATATCCTTGGGTTTTTTTAGTGGATTTAAACTTGGTCCTTAATATTATTTTAAGAGTTTTTCTCTGGTTTACTGCTTGCACAAATAAATGTAAAACTACTTTTGGTCTATGAGATTGTTGTGCTTGGCAATCCTGATACTTGATAATTACTATAATGTTTCTTGCTCATAGAATTCCTCTGCTGGCTTTACGGTTAATTTATGAAAATTTATCAGAGTAACTCAGTGATTCCAAAAAGGTATAACAGAATTAATAATTCAAACTAGTATTTGTAAGGGTTTTGTTTGTTTGTTTGTTTGTTTTTAAAAGAAAATATCAGCACATAAATAATAAAAAAGATCTTTTCCATTTGACATTCCAGTGATAGATTGCATTAACAGCTTTATTTCTTTGGCTAGTCAAATCATAGTTGTAATTTGCTGTCTGGAATCCACAAACTTTATTTCTTTTATGGTGTTTCATTTATGGTCTCTTTTGTACTCTACAGGGTTTAGTTTGATGAAGGAAATAATTATAACTTTAACTGGTTTGTTCCAGCAAGATTTAGGTGGATGGTATCACACAACCTTCTTTGTACGTCACAATGTGATTTATAGTGATACAAAGAATGTTAAAACACTTCACAGAGTTGAGGAGAGATGCTGTCCTACAGGCAGAAAGTGGAGAAAAGGCTGTGTGGAGATGGAGGGAAGAAAAAAGGAAGCAGACTTGACACTTTAAAAGCCATGAAGAGGCAGGTGAGGGTCCTTGCAGGCTGGTTATTGTAAGGGAAAAATAGAAGGTGCAGAAATGGAGAAGGCAGGTAGGGTTTGTACCAGTACAATAGGTGCCATGGGATGTTATTTTAATTGCTGTACTCAGATGAACTGCAAACAATGTTGGTCACAGAGCCACAGATTTACACGCCTTTTCCTCTTGTTGCCTTAAGCTTTAAGTTGCAATGAAAACGATGGTGACCACCTGGATAGAGACCAGCAATACCCCAGCAATCAGAAAACAAAGCGCATGAGGACATCGTTCAAACACCACCAGTTGCGGACAATGAAGTCGTACTTTGCTATTAACCACAATCCTGATGCCAAGGACTTGAAACAGCTAGCTCAGAAAACGGGCCTGACCAAAAGAGTTCTGCAGGTAAGAGCAGCCTTTTGTTGTGAAAGGTAAACAAAGTACAATTTTATACTGAAAATGCCATGGATTTTGCTGACTCTCAGGCTTCTCTTAGCTGTCTGTACCTTCTGTGAGACCTCAGTCAAACACTAGAAAGTGTGAGAGAAGTTATTTCTTTTCAGTTTCCCAAAAGCAGATCACTGGGGATTTTTAGGGACAGTTGTGAAGGTTCAGGGCCCTGCTTGTTTTCCTGTAGTTAGTTAATTATGGTGCATGTTTTAGCTTCCAATCTGCTGCAGGACAAAGTGAATTATTTTAGTAAGAGTGTTCACTGTAGATAGAGAGCTCTTAATTTAGAAATTACTGTGAATGTTTATCGTTCTAAGAAATTAATCAGCAGTTCAAATTTGTTTTATCAGGACAAGTAGGATAACTTTTCTTTCATAACTGATGTGGACAAAGTTAGTTTTGCAAATATTAATTTTTTAATTTCTAGTTTAGAAATTTAGAATGAAAAGAGACTGCATTTTGAAAGTACTTTTTCTGTAAAAGCTGCATTTTTCTTACTTCAAGGATATGCACTCTGATCAAACTAGTATGGAAAGCAAAGTTGTGAATATTAGTTGATTCAGCTCCATTGTAATTTATAGGTCTGATTCAGTAAGTCAATTTTAATGGGCACTTATCCAAGTTACTATACTTAAGAGATAAAAATAGGCAAATAGGAGCCATGGCATTCCAGGATCTCTTGCTGGAATTTTTGTACAGGACTTAATTGTAGAAAAATAGTTTGTGAGTCTCATAGAGAGAGGTAGGGCTCAGAGACAGGGCCTGGGAGAGCATCGTGGGCAGTTCTTACAAATTCCTAGCCAAGTGGAGGGCACTAGAAAAAAATATTGAGAAAAACTGAATCCACTGGAGAGACTCTGGACCTTATAGTGTTAGTACCTAGCAGGAGGAGGAATAAAGGTTCTGTAGGCTTCTCAGTAAAAAACACTAATGAAAACCCATACGTAGTTACTGCTCTTGGCTACATCCTTCATAGCTGGATTGGTTTTGTTTTTCTGAGGTTGACTTGTGCTGGTGGGACAGATTTCTCCTCTATAAATAGTGTACATCCTAAGACTGGATGTAGTGCCTCTCATAGCAGCTCTCCTTTATCCATACACGTGGGCAATTCCTTTATTTCATTTGTCTGTCTTTACTTTGGCACTTCTCTTTTATTTTACTCTCAGAGTTTAGACACTTCAGGAATATCTATTCTGTCCATTGCAGTGCACTCACACCTGAATTATCTGAGAAATTTCATGTAGTGCATTAAGACACAAATGTCCTTCTCTTGATCATCTTTCTGTTCTCTCTCCACTTCAACTCTGACTTCCATCTCTCTTCTCTTTTCACCTAACGGGTCCTTCTTTCCATCTTTTTTCCAAGTTATTGTCTCTGTTTCTTCCTTCATTTTACAAATGTATTTCCTAGTCTCCAAAATTGGACTCCACATCTCCCATTACAATTCAGTTCCACTTTCAGTTTCTTCATTGCTTCCATTTCCATCTTAAACATATCACATCTTGCAGTTTTAAGGTGTCTAGTGGGTCCTCTTGTTTTTTTGTGGCAGACCCTTACAATTCCACTAAACTTTTTTTTTTTATCATTTTGATAATTGGTGTTTCACCTCTTTTACTTTCACAGTATAACACTTCTTTATGTCTGGGCTCCTTTAGCTGAAGAGTGGTGGAAGGTAATAGTGGTGGTGAGGATTGCACCCAGAGGATGATGCTGCTGGAGGCAGTTCAAGACAATGGCTCAGAGTGTTCCTTTGTCTAGCATCACCTGAGTTTTCCTGCCTGTCACAAGCATTCTCTACTGCTTACTCTTGGACTTTTTGTTTGAAAATTAATTCAGGCTATGGAAAACAAACTTTTAAATATTATTTTCAAGCACTTGTGCCCAAGTGGTTATCTCTAACCTGTGAGAGGCAATTTTTCAAACACCAAAGTTCACCTGAGTTTCAGGGTTGCTCTTTGCTGGGGAAAACTCTTCATTATGTTGGTTACTGAGATAGTGTCACTTGTTAATTCTTTTGAGCCAGACAGGTTGGCATTCTGTCTGTGTTATAGATTGAACACGAAGAAATTCACTGGCACTACTGATTTAAACAAGCCTCATTAACACTAGTCTGTCTCACTCACCAAAGGCACATGGACTCCCAGACACCCATGCACACTTGCCAGTAGGGAGAAATCTTCTGTGTTCCCTGTGTTGTTATTAGGCATGTTTGTAACCTGGTCTATTTCCTGTATGTTCAGATCTCAGTTCAGCTGATGAAGGATTGTGGCTCTTTGTCTATCCTTAATAGAATATATTTTAATAGAAAATGCAAGACAGCAGTTAAAGAGAAACAGATTTCTTTTTCTGAAACCAGGACACCTCCTAAACACATGCAGTAGTGTTCCCAGTGCTTTAGGAAGCAGGACTAGTGCCCTTAGGATACAAACAATCACACATAACATGTAACAAGGGTACTGCGTAGATCAGCAGAGAATTTGACCATATTCTTAATGATCTGTGGAAGACCTGATTTCTGTCTCTGCTTTATAAACAATTAGTCATCAGCTACACATACCCAGAAATTACATACTCCCCAGTAAAGTTGCTATGAAAACCCTACAAAGATTACTGCTGCATTTGGACTTTGCTAATTCAGTTTCCAGCAGTCAACAAGTACGAAAATTGCCACAATCTTGCGTGGGTGCCCTGTGCTAACTTGGGTGAAGCTGTAGGCTGGTGTACTGCAGAATCTGCTGAGCCTCCATTCATAAACTATCCCACAGTTCCCCTTAATTGTATGTTTACTAATTACAACAGAGAAATCAGAATGTGTGTGAAATGAGTGAATGTAGTCTGCTTTGTGGTGCAGCATCCTTCTGTATTTTTGTTTCTCCACTTACTAGTTAGTAAAATTCAGTAAAGCTGAATGTCTCCAGGCAGCTGTATGAATGAGAAAAATTGTGTTTAGAGATTTGTTTATAGCACGAGTTGTTGATACGACTAATATAAAACAGTTGCAACAATGGGGGTGTTAGGAACAATAAAGTTACCTAAGGTAACCTCATCCACTGCAGTATCCAAATCCTTTACAGCAGTGAGTGTATTTATTTTGAATATTGTCGTATCATATAAAGATGTTATTTTAATCCTGTTTTAGTTGATGGAGACAAAGAGTTAGCTGCACAGCTCACTGAAGAGATAGAGTAAAATTTTAACCGTAGTAAATATTATTCTGCCTGGCTGCTGAGCTGCCCAGCTACAGGCATCCAGCCCTGCTCACCAGAACGTGGCAGCATCAGTGGTGGGTCTTGCAGCTGCTTTTATTTTTCAGTGGGAGTTTCAGTCCATATTTTCCCTTTTGATTTGAAGTAGCTCAGCCTTATAATGATATGCTTGGACAGAAAACCACTAAATACTTCCCAATGATTTTGTTTATTCCTCAGTACTGAAGACCAGATTCCTAATTGTGCAATTGATGTGAGATAAGTCCTTCTGGAACAATTCTTTCAGTTCTGTCTGTTTGGGTTATTATTTCTTTACTGTAATGCTGTTACAGGTGCAGGGCTTGAACTTCCCATGTGAGCACACAGCACTGCTGCCTTCCTGCCTGGGCAGCCCTGACCTGCCAGCTCTTACACACTGCTCTGCACAGCAATGAGTAAGGGCCCAGGGCAGAGGACAAGCAGGCCTGCTCCCCTACCACTCAGAGAACAAGAGTTGTAATTCTTTCACTGCTCCTCAAAATCAAGTCTTTGCTGAACACTCTCCTATCTCAAGTGCATACCTGAATACCACTATTGGGTAATTATATTACTCTCTTCTATCATAAGAGAAGGTATTTTCAGAATTTCAATTAACAAATATTTAGATATCTTTCCAGTAATAATATGAAAAATAATTTTTGGACAATTTTAAAGACCTTTATAACCACTAGCTGATTAACCTTGGCAATATCTCAGTGAGGAAGTGAACATAGTAATAAAATATCTATATTTGAATAATACTTACAGGATTATGTAGTATTTTCTACGTCTAACATGAATTACCACTATTAAAGAGAGAGTCAACAGTGTTATAGATGCAGCCCCTAAAAGCAGCACAAATGGTCATGGGCAAGGGCAGCTGAGCACAGGTTTGCATATTTAATGGAAGGTAAAGGGGAATACATAAACACCAATAATCTTGCTCGCTTTTTTTTACATGATACATGTTTCAAATCCCAAACATAAAAAATATCACAGAGTCTCTCACCCTGTTAAGATTAAGGAGCAGTTGGAAGTTTAGGAACAACGTAAATAAACAAAATAGCTATGGTGCCTTCTACAGTTTTGCACAGTGTAAACAAAGAAATTGTTTTGTGAATAAGAATGGAAATGTTACTCATATTTAGGACTACTGCATATATAAATATGTATATTTTTAATGAACATAAGTGTAACATTGCACAGAAGTATGTGTGTATGCAGCTGGGCTAGTGGTTTTGCCTGTTCTAGTTATTACGTGACCATGGTGCTCACACATGCCAAGCATGGCAGCCTCTGAACTTCCATTTCACCTTCACATCTATTGTCCTTTTTACAATTGCTAGAAGGTGTCTTACAAAAATCAAACCCAAATTACTCTGTGGGACAAATATAAATGGTCTCTTACTGAAAGGTAAAAAAATCCCATAAGTGTTCAAATTGCTGTTTTTCACAATTCCTAACTAGCTGGTGCTGGAGACTTTGTGGCTTGAATGACCAGAACAGACTGATTTGCTGCTCTCACATCCCCTGCACACAAGGCTCCTGGCCATGCTCAGAGCCCCCTCCCCCCCACCCTGCCAAGTCTCCTTTCCCATGTGGGTCTGAACTAACAGTTACAAAAATACCACATTTGGTTTTGCCCCATTTTAAACAAAATGCTGCCCTTTAGCAGGTTTACTATTATCACAGGCTATGTTTAAAACCATGAGTAAATTTTCACCCGTGCTTGTTTTGAAGATTTTTGTTTTCTTGTCATATGTGAAACTGAATAATAGCCTTTAAACTAAGTCTTTTTAAAAAGGGAATGAATGCCAACAGAACCTGTTTTAAAATACTGAGCTTGTTGAAACAAGGGCCTGTAGGGATGCCATTGATGTATGGCCCAGGAATGCAGCTCCTACGGCCACAGCAAGAACGTGTCTCTGAGGATAATTTCCTTCCATTCCCCAGAGAGAGCGTGAGAAAGAGAGTGTGCACCTTAAAGACTCTTGACTGGGGGAAAAAGCTTTCCAGAGAAAAAATAAGAGTGCTCAATAGGGGGAATGTGGGGCTGGAGCATCCATAGAAGGGAAGAAAAACAGTGAGAGGAAAACCAGCTGAGACATGTTGATCAGCTGTGACGGCGCCGGAGGCAGCGAGTGCAGAGACGCCTGGCAGGACCAGCGTAACTTGGAGCCCGTGGCAGGGGCCATGCTGGTTCAGAGCTAGAGGTCAGAACTTCCAGAACTTTGGTGTGGCCTCCTGAGCTCCATGCAGTCAGTTTCTCTGTACAGGCCACAGAGAAGAAATCTGATGGAGCTACCATCTGGTTATGCAGATCTCTTCACTCGCCCGGTTCCTTTCTCCAACAGATGCAGAGATGATGAGGCTCATTGCACCTGGAATGGAAAGACTCAGTTCTATTGTTTATAGCAGGTCATCGTGAGGCCAGTAGGATCATGACTGAGTCCATTGTAAAGAATGTGACAACGACAGAGCCCTTCTGATAAATAAGCACAGTGGAATTTCAGCTAGTTTGTAGCAGTAAAATTCCCTGTTGTCAACATATACCAGGTTGAACACAGGGTATTTAATGACATTTTCAAATTTAGCCAAAGTAATATCCTGTACCTGGGTTTCATGCCAGCTTCATAAATGCATTTTATTTATTTTCAAATAGGTCAGAAAAATATTTTATCTTTTAAACAAATCCTGCAGACAGTGGAAAACAGTGTTAACTTAGACTTAAGCTCTGAAATTCAACTGAGAAAGATGAAGTCCCAGCTTTTGTCCTTCACTCATAGATAATAATCAAATAATGCAAGAAGTAGCAATCTTGGAAAAATTCCTGTATGTGGATATAATTTCTACAGAAATTACAGTTTTTAATGCAGTGTGGGTCCTGAAAACCATTCAAGCCTCTCTTCCTGACATCATCCCAATACTATTTGAAAAAGGAGACTGGCATAGGTGAAGGGAGATGAAGCTTTTGAGAAAGAAGAGTAAGAGAAGCATAAGAAAGAGGGACAGTCTTTTTAGAAAAGTAAGAGCACTACAGACACCAAGACATGAGAAAGTTCCCCAGAGAGCTCCCAGGGTCTGCAGAAAGGCAGAGAGCTCTGGCCTGTGTCACCTGCTGCTTATGGTGGTAGCTGGGCGGGAGATACAAGGGTGCCGAAACTCATTATTTCATAATCATCAGATGCTTGATGTCCAGCTTATCCAGACAAATACTGCTGGGATTGAGGGTATTCAAGGATTCATGCAGGCTGCCAGATTTCTAAGCATCCTTACATAGAGCCTGCACAGAAAGACTGCTCCTCCATCCTTAGGCCACTCCTGTCCAGGCAGGGTATTCATACAGGATTGCAGGAGAGGGAAAG